TTCCTTTGCATTGAAGCAATAATGAAAAGTCAAAAAATGCCTGAAAACTCGCATCGTCTACACCAGATGCGACAAAATACTATAGAACCCATTATAATCTGTGATGCGGCCTACACTGGATGTGGCACAGCACAGCACGACAAATCCCCGACAGTAAACTGATGCCTCGTTCTATTTATGACATAGGCCTACTGTTTGACAAAGTACAAATGATTTGCAATGGTCACTTTGTCGCATCCAGTGTGGACAGCCTCAAGCTGTTGGCTTACCTCCGGCCTTTTTTTTTCATAATTTATTTTTACATTTTTTTGGCTAGTAGAAATTATGAATGGCCGGTAACTTAATTTAGTAGCCAAATTGGTTGGTGAGTGAAAAAGTTAATTTCAAACCCTGAATACCACTAAATATTTGTTGCCAGGTTAAAGGTTAGATTGGTTAGTTGCCAGATAAGCCAAAACCTTTATCTAACACCCTCTACTTAACCATACACCATGTTTGTGGTTTAATTCTTCAAGTTTGTAGATCTGAACAAAATCTTTCACCAAAGGGCAATGGATTGTGGGCAATATTAGCCATTAGAGTGCACAGACCCACATTTAAAATCTGAAATGGACCATCCGGGGACTTCTGGCATACTCTTTTCAACATACTATACTTTGGGACACTTATTTTACTCGCATACTAAAGGATGGACATTACGAACTCTGTGATGAGAAAAAGCACTTACCAAGAGGAACTTAACACCCCTCTAGTCACTCGATGGTTGACTCACCCTAATTCTGAGTGACCAAGTGGTCACAGAACAAACAACTCTATAGAATAAAGTGACTTTACCCATGGTTCTCAATGAAGGAATATCTCAGAAGAGCATTCACATCAGGTACTTGGGTGGCCACACAGCGGTCCACAAACACACGCAGTGGGACGTGGTTGTACACCTTCACGGATGCCTCAATATTAATAACATCACCCAGGAAGTACAAGTTTGAAGGCCTCTGATAGGACCAGTCATCTGCAAGAGGAAAGAACGGCTTAGGCACGGTCTCATTAACAAGGCTTAAGATCTAAAGAAACTGCACACACCCATCATGAGCTTCAGGGAGAACAGCAAGACTTCCTCGCCAACTGCCGTTGAGGCATAAGGGACCCAAGTTGGCCTCAAAGCACTACTGCTCACATTGTAGACCCTGCAGTTCAAGGAGGTACCAAATAAACCGTTCCAGTTGCAACACCACAATAAACAGTGCTGACAGTTACATCCGGTCACTTACCTTTGATAGTGGCATTGAACACCAACAACTGCCCCATTGGTATGGGTAATCGGAGTTCCAGCGAACACCTCAGGAGTGTAGGTAAGCGCAAAAGTGTAGACAAGCTCATCCTCAGTCATCTGTAAGAGATTGTGGTTACCAAGAGGGTTCTCCTCAACTACTCTCTTAAGGTTAAGGGTGTTTTAGCAGCAGTGCCATAGAACTAATTTTGGTTCCCCAAAGCAGCTTTCAGTGAGCAGTTCTTAATCTATAAAGAAATAGAAAGGTCCTGTGAATGTTAAACAGTAACAATTGACACAAAGAACCTTTATTTTTTGGTGTACAAATAATCAGTAAGATTTCACAGTTCTTACCATCAGCACACTATTGCAGTCCTGTAGTTCATATTCAAAGAGGAGCACCCTAGAGGCAGAGTCCTCACCGACAACAGGGCAGCCTCCCATAGACAAACCAGATGGCTGGATCAGTTGACCATTGCTAAACAAATCCTTCTTTACCTCCACAAGAACCCGGTTCTCACCGCATTGAACAGCCACACTACTGGGAGTCACAGGTTGCCTCAACTGGAAGTCCACCGCCAACTCGCTTTGCACCTCTGGAACGATGGGAAACCTCCAACTCAAAGGCTTGACTGGACCCTGCAACAGCTGCTTCTCCTGAAAACCAAGAGGCTCTTGCACAAATCCTCTGGAGTCCATTGCTAAACAAATCCTTCTTTACCTCCACAAGAACCCGGTTCTCACCGCATTGAACAGCCACACTACTGGGAGTCACAGGTTGCCTCAACTGGAAGTCCACCGCCAACTCGCTTTGCACCTCTGGAACGATGGGAAACCTCCAGTCCAAAGGCTTGACTGGACCCTGCAACAGCTGCTTCTCCTGAAAACCAAGAGGCTCTTGCACAAGTCCTCTGGAGTCCAGACTCTGAAACTGAGAAGCCTTTTGCAAAGGGCTCAAGAATGCTTGAGAAGAAAGAGCAGGACCTCTGGAAGCTGGATCTGACTGTGGCTTCATGCTGCTTGGACTTTAACTGTGTATCAAACTTCCCCATGCATTCTTCTGGTCAAACGCCACAATCACAACCAAAACTAACACACCTTCCAAAAGGCCCATCCTGACAAATGTTAACACAACATCCACCAGTGCTTGGCTTTGCCATTAAGTACAGCTTTGAATTTAGGTGGCTCCTCCCCTTTCAGCTTAATTGATTACATTTGATTCTCCTCTGGGCTTGTAGAGTTTATGCATTAGCAAATGAGAACGTTCTAGTGTCACTAGCCAATAGAAAGTTTGATATGGATCTGAGGTTTTCATCTACACTCATTAACAATTTTACAATTAAACTTTGACAGTTTGTCTATGATAGACAGTTAATGTCATTTAAAAAGCACATAAGATCACACAAATAATACAGATTATTCATAAATAATCTCTTTTTATGAGTTTTTAATTTATTATTGGAACAAATTTGGAAAAATGTAGCATTCCATCACTTGTTCACCAATGAACCCTCTGCAGTGAATGGGTGGCATCAGAATGAGAGTCCGAACAGCTGATAAAAACATCACAATAATCCACAAGTAATTCATATTAATTACTGTCTTGTCAAGGGGAAAGCTGCGTGTTTGAAACAAATCCATCATTAAGATGTTTTTTAACTTCAAACTGTTACTTCTGGCCAAAATATCCATAATTCAAAATAACGCTTGCTTGTAAAGAGTGCTTGATCTGTGCATATTTCTATCCTGATTCAGATGAGACCACCTTTTTACTGGAGTAAGCAATATTATGGATTATGGACTCTAAATTAAAACGCAATGATTAATTTGTTTATTACAAACACACAGGTTTTTGCTTTACAGGACATTAATTAGCACACACTCCGATTGGTGGAACTCTTTATAGCATCATGGCCTATGTATTACACTTTTAAACAATTCTTTTACACTTAGCATAAACCAAGTTCAAAGTAGGTCTATCTTTAGAAAAAGTTAATATTCTTTCACAATACCCACCAGTGCTTGGCTTTGCCATTAAGTACAGCTTTGACAGGACATTGATTGATGGACTGGAGTCGTGTGGATTACTTGCGGATTTTGTTTTTAAATACAACTTCAATTGTTGATCTTGAGTGTTAAATGAAAATCAGTTCTTGACTTTCTTGAAGAAGTAAAATGATAATGTAACATATGAATCAGAGTCAATCGTCCTAAACTCAGCGTAATGATATTAATAGTGACACTGGTCTGCAAGAAACAAAATGCCCGAGATGTTGCACAAGTGACAAAACAGATTTTAAAACATCATCTTAAAGGGACAGTTCACCCAAAAACGAACATGATCTCATGATTTACTCACCGTCAAGCCATCCTAAGTGTATATGACTTTCTTCTTTCAAGTAAAGTCTTGCTGTCAAGTGATTATTGATTTTTTTTGTGCATACAACCGTTTTGCTTTCTTGTTGCCACAGGACAGGTTGGCTCTTGCGGTTTTGAGGACTGCTTTGTCTCCCGATCTGAATGCGTCATCACGGGTTTTTAGCAGCCCACGAACCTCTGCTGTTATCCATGGCTTCTGGTTGGCACGTGTGGTGATGTTCTTGGTGACT